TGAGACTGTATCACATAATACAATGTTATTAACAATAAAAAAAATAATAAAAACAAAGGTAAAGCAAAGAAAGGAAGAGAAACAGGTGCCTGGCAGCAGTAGACATGAAGTTGAGCGGGAACACTGGGCCAGGCCAAGCTGTGGCCGAGACGCAGTTCATGTAACATTGGGCTTCCAGGTGGCCAGAGCGTCAAACAAGGAGCACGTTTGGACAAAGATCTATAATAACATTATTATCTATAATAACATTACCGGTCTTACAGTTTTCTTGACATTCATTCAAGCACTGCTAGAAAATGACATTGAAATCACAGGATGTTTTCATGCTTTTCTGAATTAATCTCATTCATAGCTTCTTCATCAATCACTAACAGCAGTTCAAATAAATGACTTCTTGTCTTTCACTGGAAAAAAAAAAAGACAGATAAGAAGCAGTCCCCTGTGTGTGTGTGTGTGTGTGTATGTGTGTATCTGTATGTGTGTGTGTGTGTGTGCAGGTTATATAAGTGTATATATGTGTATGTGCGTGCATGTGTGTATGTTTATGTGTGTGTGTACGTGTGTATGTTTATTATGTGTGTGTGTGCACACGCCTCTGCAGTTTTTCTCCCTTTCCTTACACAGTGTGGGAGCCCCACCCAATGAACTAATGACCCAACCCAACCCTAATCAAGTCCCCAAGATCCCCTCAGGACGCCTTAGTGGGACTCATTTTCAGCTCTCTTCACTCTACACTCTGGAAAACAGACTGCGACACCCCGGATGCTGTGCAAGCCACAGCGGCGTTATCCTTTTGTTCTCTGTTACTTCAGTTGGGCCAGTCATTTTAACTTCTTGTTCAGTCTGTTTTCATGTTGCCATAGCATTGCTGGGATACGTGCTTTGAGATGTGTTGTGAAAGGAGTGACAATGGCCAGCTATGCTTAGAATCCATCTCACAGGATTCATTGTTGTAAGATCACAATTAAGGTAATATTATGAAAAATATTATCATTCTCAAAATAATAATCCTAACTCACAAATCTGTTGTGATATAGGTTAGCTACTTATTAACAAGGTACCAAGAACACTTCTGGTCAGTATTGCAAATGTGTCAAAGATTCTTTAGAATTCATGCAGGTCAATAGCATTTATTGTAACATAAAGTAAGTAAAAACTACACTTGTTTCATAATATTACCAATAGTTCATACTTCATTTTTGTTTCTAGCAAGTTCACAGATATTCCAAAAGCCAGTTCCCAGGCTCGATGCACTGTGTCATTGGTTAAGTAACTTCGGTTAATGAAAGAGAAAACGCAAGGCCGTCATGTTCTTTCACATGCAGTGGTCTGTCTGTGGTGCTTCACTTGCTCCTTTCTATAATGGAATTAGATTTTTCAGAATGTTAGAGCATTCGTGAATTGTCAGATAATAAACTCTTATATTAATTGTATAGTGTCTGTAGATCAAATTATTACATCTTTTAAATAAAATAGCTTAACATTTTGAAGTACACAAAACAAGTTTTTCACTACATAAAAATTTGAGTTGGACTCTTTCCTTAACGTTTTCTGAGACACTGCTGCCCCCTGGTGGTAGCTTCTTGGTAGTTGCTGTGACTCACGAAAGAAGACTTCTAGGGCTCCTGGCAGAGTCAGAGCAAAGTCTGGGTCACGTCCCAATTGGAGATTTTCAACCTTTGTAACAATGAGCAAAATTAAGTCTAAGTGCAGTTAAGTATTCTAATATGCACTAAATAATTTTGACACATGCAAACATCATGGAATATAGTTACAATTTTTAGAATAAGGGAAAAGTGAAACCATAATTCTTGATGTGAAAGATGAGTGAACCATGTGCTTACAACTCCAGACTTAACGCTGTACAGTAAGCAGCTTCTTGGGAGGCCAGGCCTTTCTGATGGTGACAAGCCCTTCTCGGTCACCACAACTGTAAAATGAATCTCCAGTGTTACCAGAAGGACTAGCTGAGCCACTTCTTCCAAGCTACCCTAAGTTTCTGCCTCGTATCCTCAGCCCCACTCGAGTCTTGTGAAGTGATGAGCTGTTCGAAAGATGACTCTACAGTAAGAGAAAAGCAGCGATCTCAGTCTAGCTCATGGCTGGCTCTGCTTCTTTTTACTTCTCTCGTATGCTACACTTCGCTTAATGTTAACTGAAAAAAAACAACGGAGAAGAAAAGAGTGCTTTGGACAGGAAGTGGCAAACAATAGACAATGTTTTTGTGCTTCCATGAGTTCAAACATAATCTGAGGTATATGTGAGCATACAGCTTCTTCAGTTCTACTCTCAAGGAGTTCGCTTTATGGGATTGAATCTGGGTCTTGGCAACCTGAATTGTCAAAATCCTTCCAGTTTTTTTCTGGCTCCCTTTGGGTATAAAAATTATTCTTAATCCTAGGTGCAAGTTAGCACCATCTGTGGAACTGTGTGATTCCCAGGACACATTCCAGATTAAAAATGCAATTGAAATTTCTCAGAATAGTTGGAGGTACCTTCTGCTGAGTGCACCACACAGCCAGCTTTGAGGGTCCCTGGACAGAGGACAGGGGAACCACACTGGTGTCCTTTCACGTGGAGACCACAGGAGAGTCATCTGCAATTCCACACATGGGGGTTAACTGACTCCGTTCCACAAGACAGAGTACAGAGCAGAGGGACTATGGGGGGTCTCACTGAGCTGCCAGTGTCACTCCTGCACATGGAGAGGAACGGGGATTCCTAGATTTGGGAAGAGTACCAGAAATTCACTGATACATATGACTCAAACTTCTGTTGTCATGATATGTAAAAGCTTGCTGGAGGAAAAGAGATAAGCAGGCATTTAGCAAAGCTTGTGAGACTGCTATAACTAAACTTGAGAATAAGGTACCATGGACAATTAGTCTAGTCTGCACATCCAGGAATCTGAAAAAAATATCACCTGAGATTACACATGAGGAGGGTTTGGTGAGGGAGTGGAGGCAGGTGAGAAACTTCGACAATAGAATTATCTGCTGTACTCTGACTCAGTGCTAGTGAAACATGAAGTTGCAGTTTTCTGATGTGTAAAGCAAGGACAACAAAATAAAAATGCATACTGGGTGCCAGACTGCATTCCAGGAAGTAGAAACACATCAGAGAACAAGAGACAAGACTCCTGGGAAGCATGCATGATGCTGCGTACTGATTTGCAGAAATCAAATAAGCAAATTAGATAAGTAACTCGTCAAGCATGTTTAATAACAATAAATCCAGACTGGCAGTGAGGAGTGGGAATTTCCAGGGGAAAGAGACATGAGAGACGAAACGAAGGGGGGGGGGGTTCAGTGCTGTGGCTCCCGTCAGGACCCTGGGACAGCACAGGACGCTGTACAAGGCAACATCATAGAAACGACACTTGGTTAAGCAACATGGAAACCCCCCAGCTGCATTGGCCAGGAGTTTGACCTCATGCAACATTTCTTCCCTCTTCTAACTTCCAGGAGCCTGAGACACGCTTTGCATTTGCTACCACAGCTCAGAGCCCCTCGCTGAGACTTCGGGAAAGGTGTTAAGCAGCAGTGGGGAAGGCCCTGCCAACACTCCTAGCGTGGGAAAGAGTAAGGGAGAACCTTCTTGGTTTGGCATTCCATTTCCTTTAGTGTCTTTCGCTTACTTTCTTTCCATCCAACTTTAAACAACACTTATTACAGTGATTCAAAACACCTCCCCTGTTGCCCCTCACCCTCAAATACAAAGTAAAGGGAATTTTGCATGCTCTACTTGCTGGGGTGGAACCTTTGTATCATGCACTTAGTTCTCAGAGATCATAAATCCTGAGTGTTCTAATGCATGAACCAATCCAGGTTAACAAAAACAATTAATTATTCTATTCAAAATGCCGATAATATTCTCCTGAATCCAAGATAGAGGGTGAGTGTTCAACGTAGTGGTTAAGACAGCGTCCCATGTTGGAGTTCTGAGTTCAACTTCTGGCTCTGGTTCCTGAATCCAACTTCCTGCTGATGCAGACTGGATGGTGGTGATGATGCTGGACCAGCAGGTACCTCCCATCCCTGTGGGAGACCTGGATTAAGTGCCCGGCTCCCAGCTTTGGCCCTGGCTAGGAAAAACTTAAGAATTTGGAGGGAGGGAAGAATGAGTGGGTGCTTACTTTCTCCGTCTTTCTCAATGTAATTGATTTTAAATTTGTATTTACTTTTGTTTTAGAAGGTAGAGCCACAAATAGGGAGACGCAGAGGAAGAGATGGTGTGTGGGTTCTCTCCTAAATGTCTGCAGCTGGGGCTGGGCAAAGCTGGGAGCCCACCAATTAACCTTGGTCTCCTACATGGGTGACAGAGACTCAGTGCTCTGGCCTTTGCCTGCCGCCGCCCAGGTTTCACACTCAGCAAGAAGATGGAGCTGAAAGTGAAACCAAGTCATGAACTGAAGCACTCTGCTTCTTAATCACTGTGCCAAGCAGTCAGACAAACGCTTCGAGAAAGAAATGTGCATCAGAATTTAACCATTTTGGAAGCTGCATTTGGATGTTCTCTCAACCTAGCTAGCTTACTTGTTTCTATTGTGTGCTAAAACACTAGAGTATAGAACCTGACATTACTTGTGTTCATTTAATCTACATTTTAGTAATAAGCAGTTGCTCTAATCAAGAATGGAAGCTTCAGATACAGTATTGAATCATGGTGACTGACTGAAGAGCATGTTTTGCTGACAAATAAAACAAGCTTAAGGTTTTGCTTATAAAATTGTGATTAATAACCAGCACAATGATGATGGTAATGAGTCCTCATTAGTGAAACTGATGTCGTTTGGCACCACTGAAAATGGGAGCACGTTCTTGTCCCTGTGTGTAAAATGGGCACCTCAGTACTGATTATGCCAAAGGTTTAATTGTAGTTTCCCAAAATAGGGTACAGATACTACACAAGAGGGCATTTCAAAGCATTCATGGAAAATTCATACTGTTAAACATCTGTGTGTGGATTTCAAACTTTCTATATCAAAATAAACTTCTGTGGTTGTTATCGGGGGGGTTAATTATTTTTTAAGACCTCTCTTAAGTACTCCCATATAATCACACACTGGAATAATTCCTTCAATTTCCTACATGAGTCAAGATGAACTTCTTTCATTATACACTTTTGCATTTGTTTTACTCTGGCACTATTATGTGCATAGTTTAATTCTGGGGGAAAATGTGCCGTTGGATGTGAAGAAGTTGTGTGTGTCTGTGAAAGGGTCCATGGGAATGTGTGTCACAGGGACTGAGGTCGGAGTGGGGGAGAGGAGGAGAACTTGTGAGAAGTCACAGGTCACATGCAGGCAAAACAGAGTGGGAGCGCAAGATGGTCCTGGTCGCAGAACACACATCACTCAAGCCAGAAGGAGCGCTCACACCCAGGAACGCCTTTCATTAGTTTCCATTTTCCATTGCCTCAATTGATTTCTCAATAGTACATCTACCAAATAGGCCTACTTCAAACAATGCTACTTGGAAACTGCTCAGAGAATGCTGACAGACGCAATCTTAAAACCACCCATGGGCCCTTTCCTAGGGCGACTGGAATTGAAGCAGCAGTTTTCATTCGGCCACCAGATCAAACCACTGCTGTGGCTCAGTGAACACTTTATTTTCCCACTTGAATTTGAGCTGTTCTGCCAGATCGCTCCTGCCCATCTTGCGGAGATGGCGGGCCAGCAGGCGAAGTTTGTCCGTGGATGTAGGCAGCGATTTTTTCCAGACGCAGAGAAGCTCATGGATCTGTTCTGTGAGATCGCCAGGGTGCTTGAGCCTGATGAGCTGCACGCTGCTGCGGCGCACAGGGAGGCAGGTGGAAAGAGCCTCAGCATTTTCTTCCGAAAGCTCCTCTGCCAGCCAGTGCAGCAAGTTATCCCAAAGCACTTCTGTGGGGCACATGCAGAACACGTGGTGTTAGGACGCTTCTCCGGGAAATGTGCTGTTCCAACCCGCCACATCTACCTGCCCCAGATAGACAATTGAGACCTCTGGATCTCTGCCAGTGCTAAACTCATGTCCGCCAAGGGGACCAGCTCTTGCAAAGGGCTAGGTGCTTCTCAAACTGGAACATACTTCAGATCCCAGAGGGCTGGTTAACATGGTTTTCAGGCATCAGTCCACATCAGAGTCAGGGTGGGAGTGAGGGGCAAGCCTGGCATTTTTAACAAGCTCATAGTGGATGCAAATGTCAGAGTCTCCAATCACCCTTCAGGTAGGACTACGTGATGTCAAAGGATTTGTCTTCGGTTTCAAAATGATAGTTCTCTTTATTAGCACTAATGTGATGCCTAAAGTATGCCAGCCATTAGTCAGTCCTCACATGTCCACCCAACTACACAAATACACACATATACACAGACACACATATTCTCACTTACCAGTGGCCACTACCCAAAGAACAATTGTGTGGAACATTCTACATACTAACAGTTTCACTGGGCTTTACACCCCTGAAACATCTTGGAATATATCCCCTACTATTAACTATCTTCTCATGGCTCCTAGGTATCCCCTAAACTTAGGATTCCACTTTCCTGTCATTTTGTCATTGTTTAGTGCAAATCCAATGCTCTGAGCAAAACCGCTCATATTTTCCCTTGCATATTCCAATCCTATTCTAACACAGTTTCCCCAGTCTTACATGAACAAAGATTTCATATCTGTTCCTTATTACTGAACTACTCCTTCCATTACCTTTCCCCATAAATTGCATTCACAGTGCACACCACAGGCTACTTTGCTGTGAAATTTACTTTGGAAAAAGAGCCAAGGCATCTGTGGTCTTAATTGTTACTTTCAATCAACACTCTCCTAGCATTCTGCAATACATTCACTTGGATAATTAGGCTACTGAGTGGTCAGTTGGACTCTCTGTGTTATCTCCTGCTATCAGCAGGCAGCTACATCAGCAGCCCTGTCCATCATCAGGTAAGTGCCCATACTTGTGACCACATGGTGCATTAATCCAATGACCTGTATCATGACTCCAAACTAATAACCGACTTTAATGGCCAACCCTGGTGTTTTAACACCTGCCAGAATTATTCTGCTTCCTTGATTGTAACTTCTCAATATTATTACTGAATTGCAATCCCCCCTACTTTCATGGCCACACTCCCTTTGATTCTGTTTAGGAAGTTATTTGTTTCCGACACCAACAACGCAATTCCTTTGGAGACCCAACTTTGAATCACTCCCTGCACGGTTTCATACACCTGTGAACCAGGAATGCCCTTGATAAATATCAATCATGGCCTTTCATCACCTTTATATATGTTGCTTTCTTTGCTTTCGCTTTCAGTTTATCACCCTGAATCCTGCTTCAGTCACACTTCATTCAACATCCTCACTATCCCAAATAGAAAAAAGTGAGTTGAGTGTGGTCAACAAGCACTAGGCAGTTTTACACGATTTCAGAACTTAGTAGTTTATGAATCCACCAAAAATGGCCTTTTCTAAAATTTTCCCATAATAACCCAAAACTTTTCTCCCATCCAACTTTCCCAATCTTACTCTCATTCTGTTATGAAACTGATGTCCATTTCTCCAAATTTACCCGAAACCATTGTAGGTTTCTATAGTTTCAACTTTCAAATCATTTTCTTAACAATCTGACGCCTCCACATTGACTGGATTGCATGTGTTTTTCATCAATTACTTTCCCTTCCACCGGTCCTTTAACTTCCTCTGCTAGACGGAGTGCCCCGTCTCATTCATACACACTCCTCTTTCCTTCCTTCCGCCACCACACCAAGCTCCTGGCTCCTTCTTCTCGTCCTTATACTGTACAAGCCTTTCATGTGTAGCATGAATGGGTGGCTTCAAATTCTTCATCCTCAACATACCACTTCTTGTTTTAGAGGTTCTATACACGCTCTTAAAACTATGGTAAAGTTGTTGCTTCCAGTCTTCCTAGAGTCTGCGTGATTAATACAAAAACTGGACCTCAGCATCTTTCTCGCTTCCACGAAGCACTCCACTCCTGCATTTGGATTCCATACCCTCTCTTCTCTTCTCTCTCTTGCCTATTTGCTGAATTTCTTTCCCCTGATACTAACCAATCACTGCTTTTCCATTGACACATCTTGGTTTCTCTCCTGCGAACGTATTCATCAACTTTCACTGATGTACTACTAATGGGCAAAATATCCCGGATCTACAATGTCTTGACATCTTCCCCTGTTTAAAGTGCTCATTCGAGTGAGCAATCTAAAACATATTATTCAAATTTCTCATGGACCATTATTTCTTATCACCTTGCTTTAAATTCTAACAGTGTTAACTACAAATACTCAGACATGTCCCCTACTTTAGGACTCAAGGACTCTATTTTCTAGAGTATTGTAGTAACCAGGATTCCAACTTGTATTCACGTCACTACTTAGACTATTTAGTCTTCCACACAACTTATATACCAAGGTTTTGCAAGTCTATTTTGATTATATAAGATCCCTGTCAATGAAAATCTTTTATGGGTTCCTCCTATTTTCTAAACTTTTGATTTTGGCATTTAAAGTTTTTAATAGTTTTACCCTATTCAAAATCTAAATTCTTCTATCATCAGTCTTCCTACAACAATTATGATGACATTAACTCTAGAAGGATTTCTGTAAGTGCCAATATGTCCCACTTGTGTGACAATCTAGCTATCTAGCAAACATATAGAGGACCATTAATATCATTGGAGGATATACACTCAATATCTCATTCGAAATGTTTGAGAGTGGATTTGTTTGGAATTTTGAAACTTCTCAGATTTTTGGAATATTTGTACAAAGTAATGAGCTATTATGAGGATTGGGACCAAGGCTAACATGACATTTATTTGCATTTCCTGTATACCTTAGACAAATAACCTGCAGGTAGGTATATGCACTATCCTTATCAAGCCTGCATTTTTACTGTGACTGGTTTTGAGATTAGGCATGGAGCTTTCCATGTGTGGAACTATCTTAGTCCTCAAAATGTTTCAGATTTTGAATTTTGAGCCCAAAGATGCTCCACCAGTGTGTGTGTATTCTCTGGTGATTAACAATGGCAGTGATCATGCCTTTCTTTGAACTCAAAACTTTAATATTATTCAACTTGATAAACTTCCATGTGTATTTATTCTTCCTATAATACCTAATTTTCATTTTCATAAATGTGTATGATACCTGAGAGTGTATATCATACTTGAATTTATTCCCACCCTATTCCTTATGTAGTTTAGTGAGTCTTATACAGCTGCCTAAATTCATAAAGGTAAAGTGATTGTAATTCTGCTCAATCAGTTGTGGGCCTATTCCAGAAATCAAAACATACTCAATGGTATCCTCTGAAGTCCAACCATAATATCCTCTACTGCCATCACAAAATGAGTATCCTTAAAAGTTAAAGCAAAACAAGGGTGTTAAGAAGCCACCTTCCATGAGATCTGCATTTTTATGCAACTAACTTCTGTATGACACAAACTATTACAAGTTTCCTTTATAGTTCCAAATATAGTGACCTCAACTGCTGGGCTGAACTGCACATACTTAAAGACACCTTGTCAGTCAACATTCCCTACATCTGCAGTTGTGTATTTACTAAAAATTTACATATTAACTGAGTAAAACAACATTAACTGAGTAAAACAACATGCTTCTTGAAGATTTCTTCAAGCTGACTTTAATTATTTGCATATTTGAGAATGATATTTCGGTTTACATGTTTGTGACTTACCAGAGGGAAATCTACATAGTCAGATGATAAACAATAACCTAAGTTAAAAAATTACTTTTCCATTCTTTTTAAAGAAAAGAGTCATACGTACATAAAATGTAAGAGGGAAAATCATTATGATAATGACAGTGCAAATATTCCTTACCTAGCGGATCTGTAGAAATTCGTTTGGTACTCTGTGGACGGTTGATAAACTTTTCATGCTAAGGGAGAGAGGTACACAAGTTAACAGAAGAAAGCACTCTCTGGCCAGCAAGCTCCACAGCAGCTTCCGTCTGCACCTGTCTTTCACTTCAGAGGAGCACTGAATCAAGTACCTTGCAAAATTAGGATCTGGTAGTTGAGCACACATTCTCAACAATTGTTTCCCTAAGACAAGAAAAAGTACGTTTTCCAAATAGCTCAACAAATCTAAGAATGCATATTTAAATATAATTATTACACTCACCTGAATGCAGAAACACACACGCCCAAACTAAAATGTAAAACTTTTGGAAGCAATAAATATAGATCAGGTTATCTCCATGACACAAATATGGTGAATTTGTAAAATATCTCATGGCCAGGCATGAACATAATGTCTCAACACTCAGCAGTGGGCTCGGTACCTAAAAGCTGCTGCTCCAACAATAGTTTTTGTAAGTAATTAGTGGGCAACACTGTACAGTGTTGTAAACAGCAATCATTGAGCATAGAGCACTCTAAAATAAACATTTTATCAAGAATTACAAGCCTAAACATTGCTTTTCCAAGCTGTTTATAGACTAGTTTGTTCTTCATTAACATAGGGTAGTGGTAGAAACAATATACACATAATAAAACAGCTAGGTGTTGAGGAGACTGAGTTGTGTTTTAGTGTCTCTTGAGAGAATGAACTTACACTCCTCAAATCTCAACTCTAAAATGCATTTGTTAAAACCTACATCACAAAACTTGTATGCAAATATTCACAGCAACATTATTTATAATAGCCCAGCACTAGAAACAATGAAACTGTTTTCCAAGGAGTGAATGATTAAACAAACTCTAGTACATGCAAACTATGGCATGTTACTCAACAACCAAGAGGGCATATGCAGCGACTTGCAAGGGCTGTGGAGCACTGCCTCCAATAAAAATTAAGCCTCTGAAGTTTCAGAACCTGTGTCTTTTTAAATACAGTGTTGAAACTGTGAAATTATAAAAATATAGAACAAAGTAGCAGCAATTGCTAGCACCTAGGGATGGTAGGGATGTGACTGTAAAAGAAGCCCAGGAAATAGAACTTTGTGGTAGAATACTTCTGCATCTTGGTTACGCAAATCCACTCACATGAAAAAAGAGCAGAGAACTATAAACACACATCATATCAGTGTAGACCTTGTGGTTTTGACATTGCTCTATAGTTATGCAAGAGATAATCACTGAGAAAAAAACTGTGTAAAGACTGCATGAAACCTCTTTGTGCTATTTTTGCAACTTCCTGTGAATCTATAATTATTTCCATCTTTCAAAAAAAATCTCACTTGAGCGATACAGTGATGATTAAAGTGCTGTATATTGCTGTATAGCACACTGGTTCCCACTTAATACTCAAAGTTAGTTGAAGCTGAATACCATAATTTGCAGGCATTCTTATCTTTAATAAATGTATAAATGCATACAAACCTTACATTAAGAATCTTAAGTGGGAAGAAATGCTAAGGGTAAATATGTGATATGATAGCACTCTAAAGGACATGCATATGATATTTCTTGCATAATTATGTGTTAGAACCCTTACAAGCACTGCTGAGAAGTACCAGTTTAAATAGTGTGCAGATTCTGCCATTCTGGTTAAAGAGCCTGAAGGCTGGGACAGGTGGTATGCATTGGATTATTTTTTTTCCTTCCTTTATGTGAGCAGGCATTACCTCTCAGTCCTTCTTTGTCCCCAGATGTCTCAGAGTGTCATGATTCAGTGAGAGAGACTCAGGTGTTCAGGTACGTGCATTTTGTGACACATACGAAAATTCAGGCTACACATCACACAAGTGATAAGTGGTGGTAGCATAGGAGCCTTGAAAATTTCCAGCCATGTGGTCTCCTACTGATCTGCAATTTTTCAATTCTATTTGTCCTTATTCCTTTTCCTTCCTGGTTTACTTGCATAATTTCATGCACTTTTCTTTGCACAATTTTTCCTGTATACTACCTTTTGAATGTCATAAGTGAGCAGAGTCATTCCCCAAGCAAAATAGGGCATCCTAGTCTTGTTCTGGGCAGCCTCCTTCCCATGGTTCCCAAGTACTTCTGCAACAAGGTCAACTCTAACTCTTGCCTGATCTCCTCTCTCCCTTTATTTATTTTTTTTAAAGTGTGCTATTCCATTTTGTCTGTTGTTTGCTAAAGGAAGGCTGGTTATTTGTTATTTGTCTTTAGATTAATAATGTATATTTTAATTTGCTAAGTACAATTTCTTAAATGCCATTTTCAACACTGTACAACTCAGAGACCATTGTGTAATTCTGAATGTGACTTTCCAGCTCGCCTCACTTCCCTTCACACATCTCTGTCTTGAGGAAGGCTAAAGCAGGGCTTGTGGGGCAGTTTTCCTTCAATAAGCCCTTCAAGGACATCAGTGTAAAGGTGTAAATAATCCAGATGGATACAGATGTATCATATTTATCTTGCTAAGCATAGAACAGACCCAAGTTAGTTGCAAGTGGTTAACAGAATCAAAACCCAAGGCTTACTTAATTTCTTACTTTCTTTAATAATACTTGGAAGATGCACATTATGAGAAATGATGCATCAATATAAAACATTTCTTCAAAATTGATTCATGTGTTTTTACCCTAATTAACTACGTAAAGATTGTCAAAAATCTAATTTTAAAAATTCACAAATAAAAAAAAAATCGACTCGTGCTTCAGATCCCATTTTCCCATAAGCTTCTTGAAGTCCTTTTGTAGGTACTTCCATGCATTTGGGACTTCCTATTATCAGAGATGCTTAGCAACATTTCTGTGTACCCCTGTAGAATTCTTCCACCACTCCCTAAGGCAGATATTTCAAGTCTTGCCCAAACTTTGCAACACAATCCTGCCTACCTGTCTCCCAGCAAGAGGTTTCATCATCTACTCCTTTAGAAATTAAAGCAGGCCCAGCGCAGTAGCCTAATGGCTAAATCCTCACCCTGCATCCACCGAGATCCCTTGTGGGCACCAGTTTTAGTTCCAGCCACTCCACTTCCCATCCAGCTCCTGCTTAAGGCCTGAGAAAGCAGTAGAGGATGGCCTGAAAGCCTTGGGATAATTCACCTGCGTGGAAAACCTGGAAGACGCTCCTGGCTTCAGATTGGCTCAGCTCCAGCTATTGGGGCCACTTGGGCAGAGAACCAGCAGACAGAAATAATTTTCTCTGTCTTTCTTCTCTGTAAATTTGACTTTCCAATAAAAATAAATAAATCTTTTAAAAAAGATTTTCATTTATAAAAAGAAAACATGAATCTCAAAACCCAGTGTTCATGAGAGTGGATTCTGAGAAAAAGGGAAAAACAAAGCTTACAAATGGACTGAATCGGTCTTTGATGAGGCCAAAGTTGTAGATGCAAGCTTGATGCTTCCATTGCTGAGAAGTGACTACACAGCACCACTGTTATGTAGCACCTGCATGGCTTATCAACAACTAGCACACCTAAAAATATACCCTGGGAAATGTATGGGAGAAATAGCCTTATTTTATAATGTGGTGATTTCCAGAACCCTGTCAGACAAATATCATTCTAATTGCTTCTTACATGATGGTTAATGGTAATACTAATGTTTCAATGGGATAATTCCATAAATTACCCCACAGGCATCATGCAGTTGTCCCACCAGGAAGAAGCTCCAGCTTCTGGCAAAGTCCTGTCCAGGTATTTCTGGCAGCCCTGCATCTGTCACCATGCAGGCCTTCACCACAGGCTGCATTTTCGCTCCCAAGATACCCCTGAGGCGCAGTTGTGTGACATCTGTGCTTACCGCAGAATTCAGTAGAAACCTGCTTTCTAGTCACTGTTCTGCTGGGTCCTGCCATGGTTACCAAAGTGCCCTGCTCGTGAATGGAGCACCCAGTTGCTCCTGATCCTCTCCCCAGGCGGTACAGCTCCTTTGTGGACACTCTTAAGTTCTGCTGGTATAGCAACCATGCGGTAAAATGTCACATGATGTTACAACAGCACTGACTGGGTTACAGAGCTCAGTGAAATAGATCTTCCACTTTTTAATTACACCTTTCCCCTAAGGCCTAGGCAGGCATCAAAGAGGTTCAACTGGGAAACAATCACCAGTGGTTACAGTGCTCCCCTGTAAACACCTGCTAGACTCTGATGGTTGGAATTATAAATATGCAAAGTGCACTTATACACTTGATATATAGTGTATATATTTTATTAATAACTATAACATTTAGTACTGCAATATATGCATACTAATATGTATAACTTATGCTTCTATATTTAACACATCCACTTAATATTTTCAGTAAACTAATAAATACAATGCAGCAAACCCTAACAACACCATTAGAAAAGGAGGCAGTCAAGAATATTTGGTAAATCCTTCCCACAATTACACAGATATTTTAAAGTGATAAGTGAGAAAAATGAAATAAACTTTAACTTTCAATCATGAAGCAACATTCTCTTTTAACTGAGAAGTTGGGTGGTCACCAAGTTCAAGGACACTCACAATAATGCTATGTCATTTGGCAAATGCAGATATAATGTATGTTGGAATTTATCCTCTCTAATTTCTGTCTTTCTGGGGTATCCATTGTAGAACACATTCTTGGGTAAAATAGCAACCAAAAGACTGTAGCATTTTTAATACCATTGAGTCCAGATGCCACATAGCATTGGTTAGCAACAGATCTGTAAAATCATACAAAAAACATGCCACCGTTATTATTCTTATGATTTAACCTTGGGGACTTATGCATAGGAGATTTCACAGGTGATCATTATACTGTTTTGTGGCGATAATCTTCTGTCAAAGTGTAACTTTACACTCCTTCCACCCCTGCACATTTACTGCAGTATTTTTCAGGTAAATAGGTCATTTGTCTTTTAATTAGAAGACATATGAGTGAAAGTGATAAGATTAACAAGAGATCAACAATATTAACATGAATTTTTATTTGATGTGTTGAGGGCATCATGTAAGTCAGATTTTGCTGCTTACTCTCCTCTGCATTCATTTTG